GTGTGTGTGTGTGTGTGTGTGTGTGTGTGTGTGCCACAGTGTGCATGTGGAGATCAGAGGACAACTTATTTATTGGTTCTTTCCTTCACCTGAGGCTCAAACTCAGTTCATCAGGCTTGGTAAATGCCTTTACCTTCTGAGATCAAGTCCCTTGTCCTTTCTCTGTCTGTCTTTCTTTTTTTTTTTTTTTTTTTTTTTTTTTTTTTTGTAGAGGGGGTTGCTTTGTGTTTTGTTTTTTTCTTTTTTTGAGATAGGGTCTCATATAGACATGTAGTCCAGGCTGGCCTTTAACTCACTATGTAGCTGAGAATGACATTAAACTCCTGATCCTTCTGCCTCTACCTCCTAAGTGCTAGGATTACAGACGTGTACCATTGAGGCCAACTTAGATGATATGCCTACTCAGTATACGTGTTTGCCCCCCTCTCTCTCTCTCTCTCTGTTACTGGGTGTGGAGCACAGGGCTTCATATATGCTAGGTAAATGCTCTCCTGCTGAGCTGTAACCCCAGCTGACTCTTGCTTTTTGCAGATGTGTTTCATGTTCCTTCTAGATGCCCGTCACCCTGAGAACTGAGTCAGCATCACATCCCCCATGGCATCTGGTGCCTGGAACCACACGGGGACTGGTCCCTACAGAGGCTTCCTCTGTCCTTCCTGGGTTACACCTGCAGTCTAGCAGGGTCGTAGGCCATCTCTCTGACTGACTTTCTTTCCCTCCACCTTCTCTTCAAATGACTTCCTTTCTGAGGAGCCACTCAGAGGAAGGAGGCTGAAGAGAGCAAAGAGGCAAAACGGGGCCATCTCCCTGCTCTTTGTGAAATCTGCGGGGCTGGAGTGAAGGCAGGACTGTAGAAGGGACATCCCTGAGCCTAGCTTGGCTAATAATACAAGAGTTAGAGCGGCCCCTGCAGTGACTCCTCAGTTTTAATCTGATAAAAGCCCAAACCTAGCAGGTATTATGGCATAGCCTGGGATCCATTTAGGAGTATGGGAAGTTCTGAGGCTGGCCTGGAGAAAACAGGCCAGCAAAGAGCCACAAAGCCACTCAAGAAGAAGCTCTGCTCCCTGCCCCTTCCTCAGCTCCTCCTTGGGGTACCCTCGGGCTCTAGAGAACACAGGTCAAGTCTGCTGGTCTGTCCCAGTCCTTCCCCTGTGTCTAAGAACCCGGAGCTTCCTCACGGTTACGGAGCTGACGAGTGGCTACCATGGCCCAGAGTCCACCCGTGGCTCCTAAAAGCCCCACGCAGCCTTTTGACTACCGTTCTGTCTTCCTCTGTCTTCTCACACTGTCCCCTCCTGACCTGCTTTCCTCAAGGGGCTCCTGACCAAAAACGGAGAGCAAGGTCCTCTGGCAGGAGAGCACGGCGGTGACGCTGGGGTGAGGCAGTTCAAGCTGTGCCCTTCAGAGCACCATGGCGGTAACGCCGGGGTGAGGCAGTTCAAGCTGCTGTGCCCTTCAGAGCACCATGGCGGTAACGCCGGGGTGAGGCAGTTCAAGCTGCTGTGCCCTTCAGAGCACCATGGCAGGAAGCTGGCAGGCTGATGGATGTCCTCTGCCAACTGGGAGGAAGCGGAAGCAGGGGGGAACTGCGGTGGTGCCGGGCTCCCTGCCACATCCTGTTAGGAAGCTGCCTTGGGTCTGGTTCTCAGCACCACGGGCCCAGCTGGTGCTGGAGGAGTTGGAGAGGGTAGGAACTTTTTAATGACTCAAGTTACAGGGAAAGTGGTGAGGAAGGAAGAAAGGCAAAATTTAAGATGTAATTTGCAATAATGCAGTTACAAACTTGGATAATTCTTTCCTGTGTCCAGACAGGGTATAAACAAATCCATGTGGCACCCGGGAATGACTGCTCCCCGAGAGCACCCGTATTCTTGGATCTGTCCATCTGAATGGGACAGAGTTAGGTGAAGCATGAGCTCAGGTCTCAGCCACACCAGATCAACTAAATCTGAAAAGTCCCGAGTCTTTCCGAGACTATGTTCTGGAGGAGTTCTGGGGTCACAGAACATTCCGGAAGGCTGCTCCGATGCCACTCTCACGTTTCGTTTCTCCTTGTCACAGCCCACTTTTCCTGGGAGAAACTCTTCATGCTCCCAGGTTTTTACCCAGGATGTTCTGGAGCTGGTGGTGTCTTTGTCTCTTCAGAGTTTTCTGGAAAAATCAAGGTGGGAGCTTTTCCCACAGAGTTCTATTCCTGTTCCTTGTTAGAGCTATAACTTGACATGTGGTATTGGACCAGCTTATGAGTCGGCTCAGGAAGGCTGAAGGTGGTGGGGTCATTCCACTTTTTAGTGTGTGGCCTCTTCCCTATGGTCCTGGCCAGATAGTCCACCCTGGGTTCACATTATATGCTGCCGTTCTAGCATCTACAGACATGTTCCCAGCTCCTGTCTGCCTCCACTGACTGCCTAAGACCAAGGACAGGCTGGTTTCCAACGGCCCCTGTTGGCCCTGGAGGAGGGGCATGTGCTCGTCAATCTTTTCATCCTGCCCTCTCCTCTTTCCTTGTACTGGCAGACAGCTGTGACTTCCAGTCCTTCACAAGACCTTTGCTCTCTAATTAATCATCCAATCAGTGAATAGATACTCTGTTCCAAATGTGTGAAGTCTTGGCCTGCCCCTGTCAGTCTTAGCCTGAGGGAAGAGAGACCTTAATGGATGATCTGAGTGTATAGGCTTGTAAGCAGAAAGGAGTGCTGTGAAGAACAGATGTAAGTGAATGTACCAGAACAAATGTGCCGGAGTGGGAGGATGTGAGAGGGCTTCTCAGAGAAAGCGATGTTTGAACTGAGAACAGAAGGAACCAGAGACCCTTGGAGAAGGAGGGATGGAGGGTGAGGAGGATGATTTGATGGGGGTATATTCTGTACACATCCCATTTCCCTAGTGGTTCTCCATCTTGATGGACAGTGGAAACATCTTAGACACTTTTAAAATTATGAATGCCTAAGGGCTGGGAGTGCGGCTCAGTGGCAGAGCACTAATCTGGCTTATGCAAAGGCCCTGGTTCCATCCACGGCACTGAAAAAGGAAACAAACCTATGGATGTCTGGAGGTTCATATGGAATTGCTTCGAGTGTGACTCAGGCAGGCATCAAGGCCTTTAAAAGCCAATTTGAAGAATCTGAGTATGACGGCTTAAGCCTGTAATCTCAGCACCTGGGAGACAGAGACAGGAGAATTGTCACCACTTTAAGGCCAGCTTGAGATATATAGCAAGTTCCTGGTCAGCCTGTAGCATCCAGGAAAACACCATAAAAAAGTCAAGGCAAAACTGAGTACAGTGGTACACACCTGAAGTTCCAGTCACTTTGGAGGCTGAATCAGGAGGATTGCTTGAATCCAGGAGTTCAAAACCAGGCTAGGCAATATAGTAAGACTTCATCTCAAAAATCAAAAATAAGTGATGAGTAAGAGTCAAAATGAGAACTACAGACCTAGACATTGCCAGAGTGCATTTCCTAATCATACTCTTCCAGGATGTATCCTGACTTTTCTCAGTACTGGGGGAGAGAAATGCCCTGAGCAGAAAATGTTCTATTTTCTTCCAGGAGAAATAAAACTCACACATACCCCAAAATTCCTCTGTAAATATCCTTTATATAAGAAACTTAAGAGACAGTGAAAGGGCCAGGGGGTGGTGGCGCACACCTTTAATCCCAGTACTCAGGAGGCAGAGGCAGGTGGATCTCTGAGTTCAAGGCCAGCCTGGTCTACAGAGTGAGTTCCAGGACAACCAGGGCTACACAGAGAAACCCTGTCTTGAAAAACAAAACCAAAAAAGACAGTTGAAGTTGGACTGGCAAGGTGGCTCAGTGGATAAAGGCACTTGTTGCTATGCCTGATGGCCTGAGTTCCATCTACAAGTCTCATATGGTGGGAGGAGGGAACTCCCCAAAGTTGTCCTCCAACCTCCATTCCTTTGCCTTGAGATGCACAACCTCCCTCCCTCCTCCAAATAAATAAAAATAATCATTTTTTAAATATGGTAAAAGTTTTTCATCTACTGCATAACCATTTGCAAGAAGACCCTTTAAATAATGGTCACAAATAGAGGGCATTCTTCAACAAGGAAATGTAGAGAGAATCAACAGGTGATCTATTAGACTGTAGGTGTCACACTCAGGGCTGCAGGTCACAACAAAACCCTCCTCTTTCCCACAGGTTGTTAGTAACTAAGGCTGCTACAGGACCAGATGTTCGAGTGTCTTGAAGGCAGGGTGGAGGGGGAGGCCCATTGATGGCTGTTTTCCTGTATTCCTAGATGTCATGGCTGGGAGCCTCTCCCTCTGCCTGTCGCCTGCCTCAAGCTTTCGCTGCTCTTCCGTGCACAGGCTGCTCAGGTCTCCTGACTTGTTGGCTTTAGTAACAAACAGTCTGTTGCCTCCTAGGACAACTTGTAATGGGACTGAAAGGAGAAAGAGGATTCCCAGGGCCTCCAGGAAGATGTCTTTGTGGACCCCCCGTGAATGTGAACAACCCCTTGCACGCGGACTCCTTGTATGGGCCGGGCTCCCCGAGAGTTCCTGCGGTAAGGCTCTTCAGGGCGTGGTCGGGTGGGTGCCAAGGATGCTCTCTCTCCGATCAAAGGCCTTCATGATGTTCTTTAGGAAAATTCACTTTCCCTTGTTAAAACCGCTACCCACTCGCTGTGGGAAATTGCAAGGTGGGGCAAAGTCAAAAGCAAACAAGAGGGTAGGGACATTTCCCCCACTGTTTACTTTCAAGACTAACTCCCATGTGGTTGAGATTATATTGTCTGAAAGAGTTGTACTTTGGCCAAGGATGTAGCTCAATGGTTAGTGCTTGCCTAGTGCACCCTGAGTTTCAACACACAGTACTGCTTGTAACGATCCCCACTGAGTATGATCCTTGTTGAAGAGACAGTTCCAGGTGTCAAATTACTTACCTCTGTAGCATTGTCTTTTAAGCCTTGGTAATGTTCAAATACACATTTAAATATGTGAAGTCAAGGTGGATAGTTTTGTTTCAAAGTATTCTGAACTGGATTGACATGGTGTGGGCCCTCCCTACATTCCTCCCTATGAGAAGCAAACAGTCTTCTCTGGCTCTCCCTGTCCAGTGGGGAAGTTTTTCTGGACTCTGACCACTATGTTCTCTGGCAGATTTTTGTGGTCAACAACCAGGAGGAGCTCGAGAAGCTGAACACTCAGAATGCCATCGCCTTTCGCAGAGACCAGCGGTCGCTGTACTTCAAAGACAGCCTTGGCTGGCTCCCCATCCAGGTACTCTGGGGCAGGCCCATTCCTCAGCCGGGAAAGGGATACTTCTATTAGAAGGGAAGAAAGCTATATGTCTGGGGCTCGACTGCCCTTCTCCTGTGTCTGCAGGAGAGAGCTACTCACCCTCCCTCCCTGTCCTCTGAGCAGCCGCCCCTCAGCCCCATCCCCAAACAGAAGCTCAGCTTGAGCCAGGATTCCCTTTGGGAAAGGTGGCCTCCCACACCCTCCCTGAAGGAAGCAAAGGGACACCTCCTAGACCCAGGACACTTGTTCCCAGTGCCAGAGACTCGCCTCCGGTGTGCTGCCTGGGCGTGCCACCCTCGTTAATGGCTGTGTGTTTCTTTGGCCAGCTGACTCCTTTCTACCCTGTGGGTTATACTGTAAACCAGCACGGCACCTGTGGGGATGGCGTCCTGCAGCCTGGCGAGGAGTGTGACGACGGTAATCGTGATGTGGGGGACGACTGCATTGGTGAGTGGGGCCCAGCCTGGGAGGCCTGACTAGCTGAGGGGGTGGGGGGTAAGCCCCCGCTACCAGCTGTGAAGGTTTGAGGCAAAGGCAAGGGACAGTGGACCGGGGGCTGCTTTGGAGAGCCCCTCCCCAATTCCAGGCTGCATGTTAATTTTTCCCTCACCCAAGCATGTCAACAGGGAGGTGTTCAGGATCATGTCCCCCAGAGGCCTTCCTTGCCCCTGGCCCTCTTTCTTCCAAGCCCTACTTCTTTGCAAGCTCAGAAGGGGAAGGTGATGGTCCTCACTTGTTACCCTAGAAAGGCAGAAGGAGAGGCTGAGACTGGATTGGATGGAGCTCTTTTTCTAGGTGGACACTCAGGGCAAGCTGCCTCCATCTTTTGTGATAGTGCTGGGACCTGGCTGTAGCTAGAGTTTTCCTGCCTTGCCCACAGTCAGGACAAATCTTTGTCACCCGCCAGTCCCACAGCCACTCAGACCCAACCAAGTAAACACAGAGACTTATATTGCTTACAAACTGTATGGCCGTGGCAGGCTTCTTGCTAACTGTTCTTTTATCTTAAATTAATCCATTTCCATAAATCTATACCTTGCCACGTGGCTGGTGGCTTACCGGCGTCTTCACATGCTGCTGGTCATGGCGGTGGCTGCAGTGTCTCTCTGCCTCAGCCTTCCTCTTCCCAGAATTCTCCTCTCTCCTTGTCCCACCTACTTCCTGCCTGGCCACTGGCCAAACAGTGTTTTATTTATTGACCAATCAGAGCAATACAGACATACAGACTGTCCCACAGCACCTGGCTCTGAAGGGTTTTTGATGATTTGATTTTTGAGTTTTTATTGTTTTGTTTTGTTTATTACATAAGGTGATCAGAGCAGGAGGTGAGGTAGAAGTACAGTTTTCAGAGTCAGAACAGAATTCAACTGCTGGCTCTGGTTGTCGCCCAGCTCACTGAGGATGGCAGTGGAGGGCCATTTCCAGCCTGGCTCTCTTGACTCTAAGAGAGGCTTGGCATGACAGAGGCTCATGTCTTTAGAGATCCCTCCAGCGGACATATGTGGAGGTTGTCTGGATGTGGCTGGGGGTCAGTGCATCCATCTATGCCTCGGTTTGCTGAGGTCAGAACTGGCAATGTGTGGGCACCGTTACTGTCCCTGTCCTCAGGGGACAGATGGCAGCCACTGAGCTGAAGTTCCACCTAGAGTAGGGTTGAGAAGCAGGGGAGGTTGTTATCCATCATGCAGCTCTACCAGTCCCCTGGCAACTTTTGGATGACAATCTGTGGGCCACTGGCTCTTCCCTGGATCCCTTCGAAAAGAGCTGTTACAATCAAAACCAGGAGTGAGGTCTCCATTTCCTCTAAAAATTAGGGTGGCCGGGCATGGCAGCACATTTGGGAAACTGAGGCAGGAAGATCACCCAAAATAAAAGGGCCAGTATGGACTGCATAACAAGACCCTGTGTAGGTGGATAGATGGATGGATGGACGGATGGATGGATGGGTGGGTGGATGGAAGATGGATAGATGGGTGGATGGGTGGATGGAAGATGGATAAAGTCTAACTGCTGGTATAAAGATAGAGGTCTTTGTGGAGGTCACATGGTCCCTCAGGAACACGCTGAGCCTAGTGGTAGATTGCCTCCCCAGAGCTCTGTGCTGACAAAGGCTTCACCATGCTCTCGCACTGGGGTCTGGTGTTCCAGTGCCCTAAGTCTTACCTTACCAACATTCCACAGTAGTTCTATGAAGGGGAGGCATTATCACCTTCCCAGGTTTGCAGATGACATGAAGGCCCTTGTCCCCCTGTCAAGTAAATGGCAGGTGTGCTATACAGAACCCTGGTATGTCAGTGTGACGCTTAGTCCCGTCCTGGGTGAGTCTGAAGCCTTCCAGAAGCTGGTTCTCAAGTGGGCGGAATGCTCTAGGGACTCCACTGGGCCACACTGTCCTTGCTGTGTAGACAAGCCTGTTCCTGTTCTCAGTGCTATATTTTTTGTCTCCCTAGACTGTCACCGGGCCTACTGTGGGGATGGTTACCGGCACCAGGGTGTGGAAGACTGTGACGGCTCTGACTTTGGCTACCTGACATGCGAGACCTATCTCCCTGGGTAGGGAGGCCTCCTACACTCTTCCAGCATCTCCCCTTCCCTGCTTTCCTTCACAGATATTCTTAAGGGACTTTTGTGTTCCTGGTACTTTGTAGACACTGAGGTAGGGTAGAGTTCATGCTCCCCTGGTGAACACATAGTAGTCACAGTCCCCAAGAGGCCTCAGTCAGGGCAGCCACAGCCGTCAGCACCATCCTGGGCCAGGGCAGAACAGCAGAAAGGCAGCGAGCAGCCTGAGGGCACTTCACAGACTCCATCTGTCTACCCAGAGCACAATACCCACCTCCCACAAATCCAAAGGAGATCAGACCAGAATTAATACGTAACCTCAGGGATGTGAGATATCGCTCAATAAGCCTAGATTCAATTCCCAGTTCCACTAGAAAGAAAAAGGAGGGCCAGCAAGACGACACAGTGGGTGAAGGCATGTGCCGTGCTGGTCTGGTGACCTGAGTTTGATCCCCAGAACCTGTGTAAAGGTGGAAGAAGAGGACTGACTCCACAAAGTTGTCCTTTGACCTCCACATGTGTGTCATGGCACATCCTCACCCTCATCACTCACGAGTACGCGCGCGCGCGCGCGCACACACACACACACACACACACACACACAGAGGGACAGACACACACACATAACTTTTAAGATATAAAGGGAAAAATACCTAATCTTGCCAGTCTGTGGTCCCTCCAAGAAAATATCCCCTTCAAGGACCTGTCTCTCTACATTAGAGAGTCCTCAGTGGGCATTCAAATATGTTAGTGTCCTTGCTCCCACAATGGCATCTTCAAGCTACCTACAGACCCCAGCCCCTGCCCAGAATGTAACCTTCCAGTACAGAATGATGCTAAATGGCCCGTGCTCAGCTGACCCTCACAGAATCAGCCATGTGGTGCTCTAGGGAGCCACTCATCTGCTGACCTGTCTCCCATGAGTCCAATACCCTCAGCTTCGGCTTCCATCACTTACCTTCTGGAAGGCCTTCAGCAGGCTGGGAAATAGACATCACCTGTCCCACAGTTACATCCATCCGGTACTCTCGGGGAGGGGGTTTCCTCAAACTCACCCTCCAACACATATTAGCATATGCAGCCTGGCTGAAGGAGTTGCACACCTCCAGTTACCCTCAGACTTCAACCCTGGGTAGGCTTGGCCAGGATCTCACTACATACATGTCTCTGTGTGCACTGCCTGATGCCTGAACTAAGGAAGGCTCCTAACAGCCACCTACTGAATCTGGCCTGTCGGAGCTGCTCAAGGGCTCCATAGAGTCATATATTGTCAACATCTGACTGTGAGTCAAAGGCTTATTCACCAGCTCACTGGGGCTATTCCTCTGGTATCTAGAAGCTTCTAGGAGACCGTTGTGAATGTGTGGGGATAGGACGTTGGGGATTATCATTTGCATCTGCAGATGTGTAGAGTACACCCTCCAACGTGGTAGCTAGCCCTGTTCCATGTAGCTATTCAATTTTGAAATCATTAGGATTTTATTTATTTATTTATTTTATTATTATTATTATTTTGGAAATCATTAGGATTTTTAATTCAGTTCTTCAGTCACACTAGCTGAATTCCAAGAGCTCAGCAGCTGTACCAGGCCAATGCTGCCCCTTGGGCACAAATATAGGACATTTGTATTAGTACTGAGTGAGTTCACAGATAACACTGGACACCCTTAGGCATCGAGAAGGGGGTGACTGTCTAGTAGATGATGTGTTAGCATCGGGGCTAGCCATCCCTCCCACCCTAGTCCCTCTGACTCAGCCTCTCAGCCCCACACCCCAAATGAAGCAGAAAAGCTTTCCTAGATCTGGGTCCTCAGGGGTAGGGTAGTTTAATGCAGTTGGATCACCAGTCGTTTTTAGAATGTGCTTGCCCCTGTCCACTCTGCTGCCTCCGCCCTGATCAGTATCCTTGCCTCCCTCAGGTCGTACGGAGACCTTCGCTGCACCCAGTACTGCTACATCGACTCCACACCCTGCCGTTACTTCACGTGAGGGACTGGAGGAACAGGTGGGCTGCAGCCCATGTAAGTGGTGGCTGTATCTCTGCCCCGCACATCATGCTGGCCTTACCCTCTCCTGGGCCAGTGTCCACTGACCTTCATGCGACAAAACAAGGATACATTCTTGCTGCTAGGACATGCTTTTGACTCAGTTTGACTGGAAGAGTTTTGGACCACTGCGTCCTGTCTTAATTAAAAGAACCAGAAACCTTCTACATGTCCACCCTGGAGACTGCCCCCCGCCCCACATCTGGCTAAACAGCTGGCTGTAATGCCTTATCTCCTCTGGAAAGATGCTGGCTCCGGCCGTGGACTTGGCTTAGCACTGTTAGACATACGGGAGGGGCAGGGCTCATGCATTGTTCTGCTCTCATCTGGCGTTGGGAGTGCTGGTGCACAGGCCTCTGCACCCTTCAGACCTCCGAGCACAGCTGCTCTCACCCAAGGCAACCAGCTGGGAGGTCTCTCAAGATTTAAGAACCACAAAAGAGGAGGTGAGCAGATGCTCTTGGTGCAACTCCCAGCTTCAGACTTGCTGAGGAGGGACCCCTCAACTGGCCAGAACCCCAACACCTTCATGTGAAGCCAGAGGTACTGAGAAAGCCACACGATCCAAGCTCACGCCCAAGAAAAAGGTGGAGACTCAGACGAGTCCCTTGCCATGTGAACAATATCAGAACAGAAACCTTCCTCTTCTTGACGTTCTCAAAGGACAGTGGTTATAGCTTCAAATCCCAGGTGCCATCTTGGCCTCTGTCTTGACAGTGCCCTTCACAACCATGTTCTGTGCGGGAAACGCACTCCACACACCCCGACCAGGGCAGGTGCTGGTGTTTTCTCATGCTGGTTTCCCTGGTCTAGGGCTCCACTGCTGAGTCCTTGCTGCCTGCTGGAAGGGCCCTGTGACCCTCTTCCATGCCTGTATCTTGCACACTGTTGTGTTTACCCCTGTGTGCTTGACCTCTTCCTTTTTCCTGGGGATTCATTTCTCCTTAACCCTGCATACCCGAGAACTGTCTTCCCCACATTTCCTGAGTGGGCTTTGGCTCTATTTTGGAGGGACATTTCTTTTTGTCCCCCACCCCAATACACACACCTACCTTGTCACCACATAGGCTGCCTCCTGGGCTGATATACAAGCTCTTCAGTGAGCCTAAGCCTTGGGAACTCGGCAGGCAGCCTCTTACCCAGCAAGTCAGAACTGTGAACTGTATTTCCTGAGAGAAATCAGCTGAAGGCTGGGTCTTCGAAGGCAGGCATTTATGCTATTTACATTACTATTCTGGGGCTTCTGGGTGGGCAAGCAAGGAATAAAGGTGAGATTCCTGGCTGTAGCCCACTCTCCTTTGGGTGCTGGGGATAACTCTTACTGATCCTGGATTGAGTGGAAAGACTGAGTTCAGTTCTACTTCCCAAACTCTTAGATGGCTGGATTTTCAGGGCACCCAGCTTCCTTGCGGATAATGGAGGAAACTGATGTCCAAAGAGGTAGTGAGGCTTGCCAAAGATCACCAAGTCCAGCCCTGCCAGCTCATTCCTGGCTCTCACCTTGCTGGAGGACATGTGGGGTGGAGACCTAGTGCCACCTGTAGATCTAGCTAAGATGCATTCTGTCTCGAGTCCCACACCTTGGAGAACAGCACACACTTGAGGCCTTAGGTGGCCTGATTCTCTTCACAGGCAGCCACAGAGCCCATATGTTCCAGGTAAATGTCCCTTGAGGTAATTTTATGGCCATGATGGAGCTCCATGAGGGACTACAGTGTGGAGAGAAGAACATGGGAGGATACTCCCTGAGCTCACAACTGGTACAGCGCCTCGCCCGGAGTTAGCAGGAGGCTGCACTTCCATCTCTGCCAGCTCACCTGTGTAGATGATGCTCTATAACCCTGACTAGGCATTCCCCAGAGATGATGAGGGATTCCCTCAGCTGTCCCTGAGGCTGTCACCATGAGTGGCTGAGATTAAGGACAACTGAGGTGTCCAGTGGTAGGTAGACAGCATTCAGTGAAGGGTCCCCACTTCATTTCTCTGCCTCCTGTCTGCTGCTGGAGTCTCTTCCACTAACACAAGCGCTATCTGCTCCCAGCATGACCCAGAGGAGTGGAGAACAACTGTCCCACAGGCTCCCAATCCCGGAGCCCCCAGTTAAATCCTGCCTTTAGATTACTTGGCCTGTTTTGGGTCCCGGACCTATTTTTAAACAGTCAGAAGCATGGTGTCTGCTGAGTTGATCAGAACTGGGTTCCTGAACCCATGATGGCAAAGGCCACAATATTACATTTAGCCTAGCCTCTGAGAGTTTGCCAGAAACAAATGGCTACCTGGCTGACCACTGAGGAGCAAGAATAAGGGTTAGGGTGTGTTTAGTTTCATTTCCAGTTGCTGTGATAAAATATTCTGACAAAAACAGCCATGGGGGTGGCGTGGGGGAGGGGTGCGGGTCAGGTGGTGACGAGGTTCGACAGGTAAAAGCACTTGCCACTGGACTCGATGACCTGAGTCCAGTCCCTCTAACCCACATGGCGGGAGGGAGAACCAACATGCTCTCTGAGCCCCACATACGTACACCACTGCATGTACATGCCCCCATGCTTATACAGAGGCCAAGTAATAACCAATTTTAAAAGAAGAGCTTGGAGGAGAAAGGATTTGTTTTCACTGACAATTATAGGCATCATTGTGAGGCAGTCAAGATGTCAGGGACATGAAGCAGCTAGTCACATCACATCCACACTCAAGAAGACGGAAATGAATTAGTGTGTGCATGCTTACTGCTCAGCTCGCTTCCTCTTCTCTTACAAAGTCTATGACCCAAACCCAGGGGATGACGCTGCCCACAGTGGGCTAGCTCCTGCCATATCGATGAACATAATCCAGACAATCCCCAGAAGACTCACCCACAGGTCCAGACAGTCCCTCATCAAAATTCCCTTCCAAGGCGATTCTCGACTGCACCAAAGTTGACAGAGCTGACTGTCATGGATGCAAACACTCTCCACCCCAGTGGTCATCTCTCTGGACCTTCTCTCTTTCCAACAGGGCATCAGCCACTTGCAATAGATGTTCAGAAATACTGTGCATACCCAGACTCTAAAGAGGCTCCCTCGGACCTACTGAGAGAGGCTGCCTCATAGGGTACCACAGCTCAAGAAGGATGGGGAGGAGTTTGTGGGGGAGGGGAAGGAGATTGGATTCCCACGTTTAGATGATATTTACTGGTTTGGGCCTAGTAAATCACCTATTTAGAGAGCCAGTAGTGTTTTTCTTTCTCCCTTAAGGCTGGTTATGTGAGCTGGTTTGTGGTACCTGTTTTGACCATAACCCTTATTGTAAAATAAGAAAAAAGACAGTGGTTCTTATACTACTGCAGGTCATCTCTCTGGTGTGTCCCACCAAGGAGGGAAAAAACCACCAAATAGGTTCCTTGACTTGCAGGGAGACAAAACACCAGAACGAGGGGCACCTCTTCAAGCCGAGACAGAAGGGACAGGATTTGGGGGAAGATGCATGTAATCTGTAAATTGAATAGTGATGACCTAGGCTCCAAGCCCACAGTAGGCTACACCAAAGGGATTGACATCAGGCCCCACAGCAAAGTGGATTCAGGGCCTGATTCTCTGGAGACTCTGGAGTTGAGATGAATATGGAGTGGTGTGCCTGGAACCCTATCAGGAATCAGCTGAGAGCTGGGGAGATCATTCAGGCTTGGGGTGGGGGCTCGCCAGACGCCGCCAGGACCTGAGTCCTGAGTACGATCTCCAGAACTGATACTAAAAAAATAAAAAATGCTGGGCATAGGGCTGTGAACTTGTAATATCATCGCCATGGGCTGGAGAGATGGCTCAGCAGTTCAGAGCACTGGCTGTTCCTCTAGAGGACCTGGGTTCAACTCCCAGCACCCATGGGGCAGTTCACACCTGTCTGTAACTCCCGTTCCAGGATTTCTGACATCTCACACAGACATACACTCAGGCAAAACACCAATGAACATAAAATAAAAATAAATTATATAAAAAAATCATTGATAAACAGGCAGATACAGGTGGAACCCTCGCTCAATGCAACCTGTCTGGCCTACTTGGTGAGTTCTAGGCCAGTGAGAGACCCTGTCTCAAAAACATAAATAAATAAAGGAGGAACAACATCAACACCAGAGATGGTGCCCTTTAACTTCCACACACATGTACCTGCGTGCACACATCCATGCATATAGAAAAAGAGAAAGAAGGAAAACAGAGAGGCCGGGGGTGGGGGGGTGGGGGGGAGAGGGAGATGCGCACACAGGGGGTGGGGTGGGGCATACAATTCTGTGTTTAGGCTAGAGGTTGAAACTGCTTCTCTGTGCTTTTCCATGAGGGTCAGTTTTCCCAGGCAACAGTGGGATGCTCCCTTTATAACTGATTGACTTTCAGGGTGCAGAGGAACAACAGCCTGTGAGTTCAGTCACAAAGACTGACAGTGATAAAAGTGTCAGATGACGGGCAGTGATAAAGCAGGCTGGCAATGTCACTTCCCGTTAATTCTGTAGCTGGTTCTTGGTGTCTGATGAATTTTGTAGCTGTCTTCGTGGTGTCTGATGAACGGCAGGCCATTAGATGGCTGTGGTGCCTCCTGGGCTGAAGTTTTGCACTTTCAGTACTGAACTGGCTTTTGAGGATTTCATTAGTGAGAGGCCCCCCGTTCTGGCCAACTGATTCCCAGGGACACAGTCTATCAGAGGCCAGCCCAGGACCCCTCACTACCCAGCTGTGAAGTTGACATATGTGTAAGTACACCATGGTCTCTGGGGGGAAAACCTAGCAACTAGTACTTAGGGAAAGTACTAGAACATATTTCTGAGTATTTCCTGCAACACACAAATATCAACCAACCTAATAGGGACACAGAGAGCACACTGGGCATATCAATGGAGAACCTCCAAAGCTCACATGATTGACAGGTCAGCCTACACCCCACTGACTGCTCCCAGGAATCTAGCCCCATCCATCTCCTGTAGTGGAGCAGGCTGGTTTAAACCATCAGTGAAGTTTCTTTTACCTGTGTGGAGAAAGAGCAGCTCATGGGTCAAGGCCATTGGCCGCTGGCTAAGGATCTTATTCCAGCATTAATTACATATGTGCCCAGAGGTTCCAAGAGCAAAGGTTACTCAGCATATGACACACATCTATGATCCCAATACTTGGAGACTGAGGCAGGAGGATCATGATTTCAGGCCAATTTAGGTTACATAGCAAGTTCAAAGCCACCCATGTCAACACCGTGAGGCCTCGTTTCAGAGTGGAGGAATAAGGGATCCCTGTCTTAGCTGACCCAGTTCCACTGAGCTGCAGAGGAAGTGAACTCCTGTAGTGGGTAGCCATTCCAGCTTGGTTCTGGAAGTTCCAACCCCCATTGAGACTCTGGCAACTGTCACACCTACGAGGCGGGGCGAGGGGAGGCGCCTGGGGACCCAAGAGCTGGATGGGCGAGCGCTCTCGCTGGGCGCTCTCTTGGTGCCGGAACGCTGACCGGTGGAGATTGACTGTACAGAGCTCCGGAGAACACCGCTGGACTGCATTACACCTTCCCCAGACCCTGCGACCTACCCATTACTTAATTTGTGAGTTATGCCATTAAATAAATATCCTTTTAACTACGTGGAGTGGCCAAAATAATTTCTCCAATATCTGGCGCCCAACGTGGGGCCAACTCCAAAGGCCTGGGCGGCTCCCGCCGTCTCCTCCCTAGCTGGCGGGTACCTAAACCCGCCTGCAAAGTTCCATATAACCAGGGAACACCTACACGGTTCCATTCCCAAAAAAGGGAGCAGCTAGTCCGATCTCAATTCCCTAGCTTAGCCCCAGACCAGCGAAAGAGGCAGGAGAGTGCTAGCTCCGATTTCTGCCATCTCCGCCATTTCTGCCATCTACCTCCGACTCCAGCCAAGATCGCCAGCAGGCCCTGTTTCGGAGCTGTACCAACGCCACCTGCTGGCTGAAAAGTGCTACTACACGAAAGGTAAGCATAGTGTTTCAAGTAAAGGTACTTGATAATTTTACACCTTAAAATTGACTAACAAATTTTGAGTAATTCGTGTAATATGGCCGACAACATTACCTCACAAGAATTTAAAAACCTTTTTGCCTGTATGATGAATGACATCTTCCTGGAAATATACGACATTCCTAAGGCATATCTGGGCTATACCATTTTGGCATTCATCATAATAATTCACACAGTG